TTTTATTTTTATTAGTACACATTTATAGTGCATAATAATTACATTCCTGGTGGAGAGTGGTACATGTCCATAACACATCTAAATTCTTTTTTCATCCCCCTTTCCTTTCCTCCTCCTCCTTCCCTCCATCTCTTGATCCCCTTCCTATTTGAAAAAGATCCCCTTTTCCCTATTTCCTTTTATCTATCTTTTGTTTTGCTCTTTGTTTATATTTTGGTTTCTCATATAAGAGAAATCATGTGATGTTTAAGTTTTTGTGTCTGATTTATTTAACATTATGGTTTCAGGATACATCCATTTTCCTACAAATGACTCAAGTTTATTTTTTATGGCAAAGTAGTACTCCATTGTATATAAATACATTATTTACCAATTCATCTGTTGATGGGCACAAAAGTCACTTCAAAGATTTAGCTATTCTAGATTGTGCTGCTACAAATATAAGTGTGCATGTGTCATTGTAACACAATGTCTTTAACTTTTCAGAAAGATTCCTAGAAGGGGAATAGCTAGGTCAAATGGAGTTTCTATTTTTAGTTTTCATTTGCTTTTGACCGTCATTTATAGGGCTCTAATATTACAAAAAAATTCTACTTCGTAATATAAATTTCGGAATTGGTTATTATAATGAAAATTTGTTTATTATAGAGACCTTAGCATTGTTGGGCTGTGTACCCATGGGCAATGAGATAGCCACTAACCCCTTTATGTGGAAGACTTCTCTCTAGATATTAAAATCCCAAACATTCTCTGACCTGAGGGGCAGTTGTCACTTGTTCCTCTGTCTGTGCTGTTTCCCTTACTCATGTGCATTACTTGTCTGATCCCTGAAGCCGTTTAAGTTTGTGTGTTAGCTGACAGAAGGTGAGAGAGTAAAACCACCTCCTTCGTTCCCAGCAATAGAAAAAGTGCAGGGGAAGCTTTTTTCAGTGACTTTTCAAACAGAGCACCTTCCTAATGATGATTCTTTAAGTTTAGAATTGACTGTTTAATATTTTTATTAAATTGTATTCATACATCATATTATACATAGTTCAAGGTTGTCGGAAATAGATATTCAGGTGAAGAAAACTGCTTACTGCCTTTTAACTCTGATGTGATGAGTTGCAGGCTCCAAGGTCATAAACTTCTACATGTCCGTGTTAATTTTTGTAGCTTTTTCACAGATTATTTTTTTAAAATATTAAATGTCCTAGTTTTCTATCATTCATTCATCCTTTATCTTATTTCATTTTCTGTGGTGCTTCTGATTGAACCCAGGTCCTCCATGCATGTGGCACTCCCACTAAGCTCCCTATCACAGCAGCCCTTGATCACACCAAAGAACCTTAAAGAAATTATCTTTTAAGGTTCTGGGCTATTTAGATGAACCAACAGACAGACATTCCCGTGTTTTGTCCTTTGAGAAAGGTTAAATTCTGTTGTTGATCAATCTCCATTACCAAAGTTTAAATATTCCATCATACTGCAATATAACAAGCCACCTTCCTGCTTTCCCCTGATTTTCTCACAGTGGTTTTCCTTTTCAAACCCTGACCTATATCTAAACTAAATACAGTCTTAGTGGCTTTAGAATAAATTACTGCTAACTTTTATGCTCTGGGTGTAGGTAGTTCCTAGACCTGACACAAAAATATCTCAAGGACAACTAAACATTCTCTTTTGCAGCTTTCCTTCCTAAAGTTCTGAAATGACCGAGAAGGCAAACAAAATCCTAGAGAAATTTTTTTTTCTGTTCTCCCTCAACTGTTATTGGTATCTTCTCATGGATTCTTAGAGTTGATCATCCAAATGAAAAATGATTCTCTTTACATACTACTTTATGTTGTATTATCAGGTAGACAAACTGCTATTAAAAGGAGGTCTCTCAATATAGTATATTGAGCACCATATGTGTTTTTTTTTCTTGTTCATTTAAGATGTGTATGAACAGGTTTGTGAGAAGGCTCCTGCAACCAGGTAAATACCTGAGCAAAATGGGCAGAGTCTGTACCAACTTCAATATATAACTTCCAAAATTTCCCTGTAGGTTCTCTCTATTCCAGCCAACCACCAGGGGGAAAATGGATTGAGGTACATGCATGGGATTTTATAATGACTTAGTTCTAGAGGTGGTGTGGGGTCTCTTCTTCTCATATTCATTGCTCAAGACTCAATCATATCATCCATCTTAGCAATGAAAAAGGCTAAGTAATATAGTCAAATTGTGTGACCAGAATATGGAGAATATAAATTTTGGTGAACATTTAGCATCCCTGTTGAGGAAGAGGTTGTCCTGAAAAGACCTTTTAGGATGAGCCATGTTAGCCAGCCTTTTGTTGCAGTGAGAAAATACATGAGAAAAAGAAAAAGTTTAAAGGCGGAAAAGTCTATTTTGGCTTACGGGTATAGGGGTTTCATTTCATGTTCAGCTGGCTCCATTACTGTTGTGGGGAGGGCAGAGCCAGAGAGGAATGGGCTGAAGACAAGATATACACTTCAGGGCCATCCCACGTCCTGTTCTTTTCAACTAGGCCCCACCGTCTAAGTTTTCATCATCTCCATTAAAGTTATTAAATTATGACTCCATCAAATTATTAATCCAGTGATGAAGCTGAAGCCCATATGATCTACTCACTTTCCAAAGTCCCACCTCTAATATTACTGCATTAGGGACCAAGTCTCCAACACATGAACCTTTGGGGGGAAGAATATTTTAGAATCAAACCATAACCTAAGTTATAGGAATCACTTCCAGAACAAGCAGGAATAATCTCTCCTTCCAGAGCAAAGTTAGAGATGCTAGCTATATCTTCAAAGCCAGTCTTACCAGTTGCTCTATGGAGAGTTAAAAAAAAAAAGGAATCTTTACCTTACTTAGGTAAAAGTCATAAGATAGGACCACAGTCTTCCAGTAGGTAACAGAACAATGGTGGTGATAAATAGCAAGAAACCCAATGTGACTCATGTTGCTGGAGTCCAGATTCCTTGTCTAATTAGACTTCCCATAGAGACATTTTCCTTTGCACCTCAAGGAGGTTCATTGTTTTGTTTTTATTACATATAAACACAATTACAGGGATTCTTATTCAGTTCAGTCCACAAAGGGAAATTCTGTCATACACCTGACACCATGAGAATAGTCTTTTCTTGTTTGTATAGTTAATCAGTTGGGAGTCACCCACGTCTTCTGTAAGCTCCTAGTTTTCCTATGGCTGTCCTGTGGCCCTTCACCAGACTTTAATCACGTAGCATGAGTGGGACAGGATGGTCAGTAGCTCTTCACCCAGTGGACTCTATGCTTGTCATTGTCAATACGAAGCAGCTGCCGGCATATACTGAGGGGCTGCCGGTCAACTTGGTCGAAAGTGCCTTCCATATCCAGCGTTTCTTTTTTCATTGTTTCTCCTGTGGTTTGTACTCAGCTAAGGATATTCAGAAATCTTATCCAAATTTCTGGCAACTCTCTTCTCTTTATGCTTTTGACTGATGACTTCATGAAACCCTAGACAGTGGGGTAGCTTCCAGACTGCACAATTTCATTAGTCTCCTTGTCTATTCTGGGCAAGATAAATAATGCCAGACAAATGGGGAGGCTGCTTCCATCCTTGAAATCTTATGCATCTCAGGCTTTGCTTCATTGTTAGCTCTTCCTTTCCCAGCTTTAGCTTCTGACCCTGCTCAAATGCTGTGTTCTACTTAAGTAATTATTGAACAGGATGTTGGCATCTCTGTTTAATTTCTAATTCCTTGTTTTGATCCCCCCCACCAGTAACCACTATTTTTTTACTAAATCCTTTTTTTAAAAAATCTTTGAGTTTATTGGTACTTTTTAAATATACAGTACAGTTACATTTATCATTGGGATCTTGTACCCTTACATGACAGGTCTTGGTTCTCATTTTTTCCCCATAACCCTGCTTTCCCTTCACCCCCACCACCCTCCCCTATTTACAAAGACTTTGTTTCCATTTTTTCCTTTTCTCAGATTTTTTCTTGTCCCTTATTTCCTCTCCCCTACCCTTCCCACTGCCCCTATTCCTTTAGCCCTTTTCTTTCTATTTCACATTATAGGTTATATAATTTGTTTAGTAAATCCTGTGATCCTTGAATCCTAAGTGCTTGATGACTTGGCTCTTAGCATTAGGCCTAAAATATTAGAGGGAAGCACAGGAATAGACAAAGACTCTGAATAGAAATTAAAGGCAGGTATAGTGAAGCATTCATTAAAAGAAGGGACTAGGAAGTAATTTCAATGTCCTGTGCTTGACATAGGTGAGAGGAGAAATTGGGATAGTAGCCTGTATTAAGGGAAACACAAAGAACTTCTTACTGAGTCAGAACACATTTTTCAGTTGACCTTTTAGAGCTAAAAGGAGACACCAGAAATGCAAATCAGAATCAGCAGCACTCTTTAACCTCAATAGAAAGAGGTTCATCTCCTCCCTTGAGTTAGATGTCTGTGTGTGTGTGTGTATATGTCTGTATCCTGAGACAGAGGGTCCATTTCTGGTTTTGGAATTACAAAGGGTTCATGATCCATAAATGAGAAAGAAGTGCTGGATTAGAGGGCCTAGGGTAGTCTCAGCCATGAGGGAGATGAGATGTCTGGAGAAAAACTCCTGGTGGGTGAAGAGCTTAATGTAAAACTGGTGTGAAATGAGATGATGTGGGGGGATTGATGTTCCATGGCTCTATTCTGAGGTTTTGTGTCAGACTTTAAACATTCACATAGGAAATTAGACCCCGTACTGTGGAGTCTGAGAGAGCGTTTATCTCCATGTCAGTCAGTAACACAGAGTGGAAAAAATGAAATCATAGGTTCACATTTCACAAATGGAGTTTTATAGTTTTCAAAATAATGTTCTTCAAGAATGGGGTCTTGTTCTGATTTTTCTGCTGCACATTATTCTTTCTCTAACCTTTTGTTCTCCCTAGGAACACTTTAGTCATTGCCCATGAAAAGTCTAGGCTAGTATCCAAAGGTACAATAAACAATCCCATTTCTATTTTTCTGGTAGCAAAACTCCTGAGTTCTTGAGCAGACTAGACAGAGAGTTGCCGCACAGAAGTGCCAGTCCCTTTGCTCTTCATGACCCGCAGTCATCGACATGGGTAAGTGGAACATCATGCAGGCTGCTGTCTGGCACTTCTCCAAGAGGTGTTTAGAGGCTGATGATTAAGGGTATAGAGTGACTGCTGTATCCTAGAATACTGGAACTGAGGGCAGATGACCTGGTTTGAAACTGTGACCCCAAGTCTATCTGAGCTAAAAAAAAAATAATGCTTATAGTTTTTACCTCCAATGTAATCTTCTAAAAAGCCTTTGATCTCATCCAGTCATCCATCTATATCAAATTCTTATGGCAACACAAGGTTTGGAAAAAAAGTGATTTAGATAAAAATATCTAGTACGGTAAAAGACATATCACCATTAATTGCCCTTAAAAATACTCCTCTTTGCTTTTAATGCACTTATCCCTTCATTATTGCCACTTTCTGAAGCAATTCTAAAAGTGCTCTTTTGTGAATGCCATTTCACAGCTGCTTGATATTCCTGCTACTGTTCAAAACATTTACCCCAATTTCTGTCAAATAAAAACTTTATAAGGTGTCCTCATTCACTGTATTTGCTGATGTGGTACCATGTGACTTCTGGCCCTTCCTGCAATTCAAAATGAGCATGGAAGAATTGGTGCAGCCACTGTGGAAATCAGGATGGAGACACCTCAAAGATCGAGCATTGGAAGTCCCATTTGACCCTGCTATCCCCCTACTGGTTAGCTTCCCCAAAGAATTAAAAGAATCATACCACAGTGATATATGTGCACCCATGTTCATAGCAGCACAATCCGTGATAGCTAAAACTTGGAAGCAGTCCAATTGTCCATCAACAGGAGACTGGATAAATAAAATGTGTGTGTGTGTGTGTGTGTGTGTGTTATATAAAATGGAGTACTACTCAGCCATAAAGAATGAGAAACTAGAGACATTTATAGCTAAATGGATGCACATTGAGGCCATACTCTTAAGTGGAATAAATAGGACACATGTAAATACCAGATAGTTGCTCTAGTGTGAGAAACTGAAAGTGTAAATAAGGACTAAAAGATATAATAGATGTGAAACAGGAAAATAGGAGAAAATAGGTGCAACGGTGAAGGAGAAATGGGCGGGGTAGGGGAAAAGAAAGATGGGAATGGAATTAACATAAGAAAAAGAAAAAATGGAAGCAAAGTCTTTGTAAATAAAGAGGGATGGAGGGGTTGAAGAGAGGGCAGGGGAATGGGGAAAAATAAGAACCAAGATGGATTATGTAAAGGTGCAAATTTCCAGTGATGAATGTCATTACATTGTACACCTTAAATGTACCAATAAAATTAATTTTAAAAATGAGCATGAAAGAGAAATGCTTTGAACTGATTCAGTACATCAAGGCAACCACAATAGTGCAACTAAAGACACTTGTGAAAGAGCACTTCCTTCTAGAACTACTTCAGAAAGTTGCAAGAACAATGGGCTAAGTGTGTTTAAAGTGAGAGTATTTTGAGCGAGATGATGGCAATGTGTCTTTTACTACAATGGATTTTTTTAAAAAACACTGCATGTTTTTATCACACCTCATCAAGTGTACTAAATGCATAAAGTATCTGCTCTAGAAAACTTTAATTCAGTGAGCAAGAAAGTCAATAGTTAGAAAGCAAAGTGCTGAGTATAGAGCATCTCATGGATAGAAAGCACCACCGCTTTCCCAGGAAGACACATCTAATTCAGACTATGTGTGTATATGCTTCCTAGTAGAGGTTACCTGAAGCTAAAGCTTAAAAGATGAGCCAGGAAGGCAAAGAGTTATTCCAGGTGTTAGAATCCACGAATACTAAAAAGCAAGAATTAAGATGTTAAGGCAGGGGGAAGCATGGCTTATGTTGGGGAAGAAGACTTACGTGTTTGCATTGAGAAAGTGAATTTAAGGGCTAGAGAAGTAGATAGAAGCCATTTGAAGCTTTTCTCAAAAGTGGTACAGCTGGCAGGTTGGGTGGGTGGTGCCTTCATGTATCCTAGTCTAGAAATGTCCCAGAAAGGAAGCCGGGAGTGTTTCTGGGAGAAAAATCACTGGAGACGTGTGCAGGTTGCAAAAGGGAACTTGGACCTCATTCTCAGAGTAGTAGAGTTACTTAAATGTGGCCAAGGGAGGGTCAAAGTCAAATTTGTATTTTCAGTAGATCACAACTCATACCCATTGGCAAGATGGACAAAACAGTTGTTAAGTCTTCTGCCCTAGTATGGATAAGTAGTGATGAAGACTTTAACTAGGACCACAGATAGGCGATGGAGATGGAAGCAAGTCAGGGAACTGCTTAGAAGACGTAGGGTGAGTACTTGATTATTGACTGGCTAATCGGTACCAAGAAAGTATCATTAAGGATGACCCTGGGAAAATGTTGCAGTTGAGAGGAAAGATGGGCATAGGTTTTTAAGTCTTAGCTTTTGTAGAACTTGGGCAGGTAAAAGCTAAGCTGCTAGACAAACTTGATTTTCACCATCCCCACCCGCCTACTCCTTTCTCAGTAGGGGCCATGTTTTAAAATGTCAGGAAGACAATATGACGCCCTTAGAAAAAGGTCATTGTAACCCTACCTACAAACCTTTAGCTTCTCCCCCTTGCTTCTGAGGTAGCGTTCCAAAGACCAGATGTGTCAGTGTGGGTCTACAGGACTTACCCAGTGAAATCTACACCTTCCCCTCACCGCAGGGTCCTAGGGGAAGACTCAAGGGGCTGTAGGCAGTGAAGTTACATGGTATGTAGATACCAGTCCTAAGCATCGAGTATCTGGGTGTCCTCCTGGCTGTGAGGGAGGGGAGAGAGACAGGAGTTGGGTAGCTTTACCACTGCGTTTTGACTTTCCAGGATAGTCTTGATTTCTGATTGAAGCTTTGTGAATCCTATTATTTGAAACACCCGGCAGAACTGTGCACTTGCTCTATTGATTTTGGCTCGTTTCTTCAATTTAACATCCTGAATTTTAATATCATCATCCAAAGCATTAGAAATGTCTTCCATAACTGCATTTTCTGTGGATTCATTAGTGTATTCATCACATGATCCTCCAAGCTATCAATAGAAAATATGGAGCAGGATTGACCCCAGGATGTTTCCTTATGAACTGTGTGCAATTGCCGCTCTCATTTTGACACCAAACTATTAATAGGTTGTTGGTGTTCAATATACTTAACTGACATTATACTCTTCTAGTTCTGTCTAATCCATATGCATGGAATTCTGAGAATGCTCTGTGGAACAATTTCTATTGCTCTGGGAGAATCAAATATGTACACTGCACTTCTGTGACGAATATTTCTCCTCTGTTAAAAGAGGGCACTTGCAGTTTGCCTTAGCTATGATCAAGGTATTGAATGAGAAATATGTGTGACTCTCACCTGTAGGGAGTATGAGATGCTAGAATTTAAATAGTTTTCTTTTTTCTAATTTCAATTATAGTATCTAATGCAATTTTCCTGAGAAAATGTTTTTTTGTACACTTTTAAAAATCTGAATGTGGACCTGCCATTGGAAAATGGGGACTTCATAAATACTATATAGTTATATCAATAAAAAAGAGTACGAGAACTTTAGACAACAGGCATTTGCAGAGTTCCTTGCACATGAATCAGTGAGGTGTAGGGGACACAAGTCATACCTCCCTCAGTCATTATCATTGAATGTTTCCAGTTGCATAAAAAATGGTCTCCAGCCCCAGGTTTCCTTTCTCCTCTTGTTCTACAAGGAATAACAATTTTTATTTTTGGTACTGGAGTTCAAACTCTGGACCCCACCCTTGCCAGGCCCGCGCTGTGCTGCCGAGCTACATTCTAGCCCAAGAATAACAAGCTTTAAAAATCACATCCTGGTGGGGCATGGTGGCAGAATTTTAATCTCAGCATTCTGGGAGGCTGTTGCAGGTGGATTTCAAATCTGAGGCCAGACTAGGCAATTTAGTGAGAACATTTATCAAAATGAAAGTAACTTTAAAAGGGATGGAAATGGGATGGAGACAACTCAGTGTGAAGGCTATGTTTAATTCCCAGAACCACCAAAACACGGTTGCATCCTGTTCCATTTCACTGCCAGGAATCATTTAGTGAGTTCCTGTATATTCAAAACCAAATTCAAAGTGCCTAAGCTTAAGCACTGTGCCCTTTCTGCCCTCTGTCTGCCCCCTCTTCTCTCTCCAATCTCTCTCTAACTGTAGTCCACAGCCAGACTATGGGAACCGCCAGGATTTTATAGAACCGCAGGTGAGTCTCGGGCCCATTGCAGACCTTTTGAGTCAGAATCTGTGTTTTAACATCTGTGAGTGATTTGTGGACACGTTAATGTTTGAGGGAGGCTGCCTTAAATCTCATACTTTTCTAGCCTTATACCTTCACACCACTCTGCACACTCCATGTGATTTTGTCATTCTGATTTTTATCTATGTGCCGTGTGTTTGTTCTTTTTAGGAGATCCTTCGGTGTTTGGAGTGCTGGTTTGGTGGTCATGAATTTGTTAAGGTGCTTTTTCATGAAAATACCTTATTTCTCTATCAATTTTGAAAGATAGTTTTGTAGGATATATCAGTCTGGGTGGGAAGTTGTTTTCTTTTGGGGCTTGAAACGTTTCACTCCAGGCTTACCTGGCTTTTAAGGTTTGTGTTGAGAAGTCTGCTGTAATTCTAATGGCTTTACCTTCAGAAGTTATTTGTTGCTTTTCTCTAACAGCTTTTAAGAGTCTTTTGGGCTTCTGGGCCTTTGACTGTGATGTGTCGTGGAGAGATTATTTTCTGATTGGGGCTATTTAGGATTCTATATGGCTCACTTATCTGTATTTTCTTTTACCACCTTTAAACATTTCACTTGATCTCTGCATTTTCTTAGTTTCCTTTGAACATTTGATTGTCTTTTAGCTTCTGTGGCTGCTCTCCTGAATTTCTCCTGATGCAAATTTCCAGTTTTCTGTTTCCTGCTTGTCAGAGAGCTGATTGATTCTGACCAGTCCTGTGCCGGTGAATCTCTCCCACTTCCTGCTCTACACCACATGGCTTGTTCTTCAGGGACTTCCCTTTAACTCAGTGGATTTTACCCACCTGTGCACAGTGGACTAACCTGGGGGAGGTAAGAACTGCAGATACCTAGGTCATCCTCCCAGAGTTCCTGCTGCACTGTGGCCTGGGCTTCAGAGTTGTGTTTTGTTTTTCATTGGTTTTTAAATTTATTTTTTTATTAGTTCATATTTGCAGTACCTAATGTTTATATTTCTTGTAGGTAGCTGGAAGTTGGTGCATGCACATAACACATCTTCATTCCTTTTTTTCCATCTCCTTCTTCCTTCCCTCCATCTCCCAATTCCCTTCCTGTTTGAAAAAGAGCTTCCTACTTCTAAATATCTTTTATTTTTCTATTTACTTATGTTTTGGGCTTCTCATGTAGGATAAACTGTGTGATATTCAAGCTTGTGTGTCTGATTTACTTCATTTAATATCATGGTCGCAAGGTGCATCTATTTTCCTACAAATGACTCAAGTTTATCTTTATGGCAGAGTAGTGCTCCACGGTGTGTAAATACTACATCTTCTTAATCTGTTCATCTGTTGGAGGACATATAGGCCATTTCCAAGATTTAGCTATTATGAATTGTACTGCTCTACACATGGGTATGCATGGATCACTGTAATATGATGTCTTTCGGTGTTTTAAAAGCTCCCCAGGTGATCCTAATGTGCAGCCAAGGTTGAGAATCACTGCTTAGCAGTCATCCTGGGAATTAATTTTATTGCCTGCTTATCTTCAGTCCCCTGATTTCTGGGTCTCGTTTCTTCTATTTTCTCATTTTACTTCTTTATTTTGGTGAAGCATATTATTTTGTATCTTACCGAAAGAAGATGTATTAAATGGGAACATGTTGGGGACCTTCTATATCTGGAACTATATTTAGCCCTCACATTTTGTTTGTGACTTAATTGTTAACTCTTCCAAATTGGAAATAACCTTCCTTCCTGTTGAAAGCACTGCTCTTCTAACTTGAATATTGGTTCCTTCCTGAGATACCAAAGCCATCTGAATTTCAGTTCTTACATGATGGCTTTTCCTTACTTCTCCTGGAAATGTTTTAATATCTTCTTTTCTTTTTCTGACATCTTGTGATGATGTGGCTTAGCATAAGGGTCTTGTGGCTTAGTGTAAGGGTCTTTTTTATTCATCTTGATCTGAAAACTCATCTCTAGTTCTAGATGAGTTTCTTGTGTGGTTCTTTTGATTTATTTACCTTCATTTTCTCTTTATGGAATTCCCATTACTTAAATCCTAGGCCACTTGGATTTATCATCTTTTTTCTTTTAAGTATTTTTCTCCTCTAATTTATCTTTGATAAGCTTTTTCTACATTCCGACATATTTTCTGGACTTTAACTTCTAAGAATTTTACTGATTTGGCTGTTCTTGTGGCGAAGGGGCATTTGTTTTTTTAATTTCCAAGATAATGTATCACCTTAAGCTATTTGTGGTGGCACATGCCTGTCATCCCAGTTACTCAGGAGGCTGAGGCAGGATGGTCGTAAGTTCCAGACTAGCCTAGGCGAGCCAGTGAGACCCTGTTTCAAAGTAAAATTTAAATATAAGGGTAGGGATAACTCAGTAGTGGAAGACTTTCCTGGCACATGCAAGGTCCTCTGGGTTGAATCCTCAGTACCAAGGAGGAAAAAGGGAAAAAGTGTATGTGTGTGTGCATATGCATGCACAGGCACACATATATGAGAGAGGCAGAGGGGAGCACAAGGGCAAAGCAAAACTTCACACAGGGGCCCAGCCCTTCCTCATCTGGAGGCTCTCAGATCAGGATATGGGATTTTATGCAATCCTTTCTCCCTCAGTCTGGTGTTTTACCACTGCTACTATTCTATACCTGGTTTGTCTCAGTTAGTTTTTCAGAGCATATGCTTTTGATTTCCTAGTGGATTTGGAAAAATTAGCACTTGAATTTTCAGGGCAGGAACAGGCACACACGGCAAACAGCTTCCATGAGCTTTTCCAGTAATTCCTTTTTTGTTACCTGCTATCATTTTCTGTCTTCCTTTGAGGCTGGTGCATCTGATTCCTGGGCTCACATCTTGCTCTGTTAGCGAAATCGGCTTCCCCTGCATATCCCCTGTCCCTTGCCAGCCATTCCCTAGGTTTCTTCCTTTCCTCTCTGTGCCCCTTACCTTCTCTTCTTTCTCCTTGTCTTCATAGATTCCATGTGTGAATACAGATGTCTCTTGGTTTTTGAGGATAGAGTTTACATTTATTTTGTTTCCTCCTCTGCTTAGGATAATTTTTGAGAGAATAGAACAAAGTATCTTTGCTACAGCATCTTGAAAAGACAACTCAGTGATTGTTCATGGGCTGAATTGTGTCTGCACACTCCCATGCCAAATGTTTGTGTCAAAACCCTATCCCCAGCACCTCACAATGTGACCTTATGTGGAGACAGGATCTTCACAATGGTAATGAAGCTAAAATGGTAATCAAGTTAGGTTGCCCTGTGTTTGGCACAGAGATGAGAGAAAGTCATAGTATGTAGGTTTACCTGTCTGATTTGACAGATATGAACACATGACGCTCTGCTGCTATCTTTACTGCTGCTGCAGATGATACAATTCCAAAAGCTGTTTTCCTTCTCTGAAGAAAGTGTTTCTTACTGTCCGATGGTATATAGGCTTTTATAGTGACAGGAACGGGGGCATGAACTAAGAAGTACTTGAGAAAAATTATAGTAAGCGAAAAGGGGAGAACCAGCCTCCATACGCTTTATGGATTATTAGTCCAGTGAATAACTCCTGAAATATGTTGCCTTCCACTCTGATGCTGCTGGGAGTTTTATGGAACTCCCTAAGGAATTTCCTAAGCATTAGGTTATCAGGCTGGTCTCTGCTTTGTGGAGGCTAGGCTACAATGGGAACGGCAAATGAACAGAATCTGGATGAATCTCAGCTTATGATGGGGTTGTTCCCAGTAAACCCATCAGAAGTAGAAAATATCATAAGTTGGAATGCATTTAATTTACCTTACCTACAGAACATCCTAGCTTAGAACACAGCAAACTGTAGTGTCCATTGTTCATCTTCGTGACTGTGTGGCTGCTGGGAGCTATGGCTCACTGCCACCGCTCAGTGTCTAGAGATGGTTTTTCACTGCATACCCCTAGCTTGTGAAAAGATCAAAAGTTTGACATATGTTTGTACTGAATGTGAATCACTTTGTTATCACCATAGAGTTTAACACTCATTAGTTTTTCATTTTCTCACATTAATTCCATTCCCTTCTTTCCTTTCCCCTACCCTGCCCATTTCCCCTTCCCCTTTGCCCCTTTTGTTCGTATTTTACAGAAACAAAGTCTTTGTAAATCGGGAGGGATGGAGGGTTGAAGGGAGGGAAGGGGAATGGGAAAAAGAATAAGAACCAAGATAGATTATGTAAAGATGCAAATTTCTCATGGTGGATGTCATTATATTGTATACCTTAAATGTACCAATAAAATTAATTTAAAAACCCTCATTTGTTGAGTTGAGCCTTGTAAGGTTCCTTGTCAGGGACCATCTGTATCTGAAATCTTACTCATTTCAGAATGTGGTCACTAGGCCAATGGATGAGACTGGCTGGGGTGGATCAGAAAGACTGATGTCCGTCCTACCTGAGGTACTGGCTCTTCTACTGCTCCTGTGCTCCTGTATGGGCTTTGTTTTACCTCTCAGAAATAGAGGTACAAATTGTGTTTCAGATACAAATTAGAAATGCAAGGACTCAGAATGCATCAAGGGAATTATATGGTATCATTCACCAGCTGATAATTTTAATAGGATCCCATGAATGAGCAATAGGCATAACATTTAGTTCTCCCAAAAACAGTGCCACTATCTCTCGTGTCTGATAGGAACTGATCATCTGGTTTGGAATATTTTGAAAATATCTTTATTTTCAAGAGGAATAAATTATAGTGGTTATCTCTGAGAAAATTTTTAAAGCTTAATTAAACAAGTAATTAAATCACCCTTTAAAATTGCTGGGTGATTGTACTTATACTAGTCTTCCTTTTATGTATCCCAAGGGACATCTCCAGGCATATCCATAAATCAATCAATAAGCAAGTTTGTTTGGAAGGCTTAGTGTAGGTTTTGTGCAGAGGCTGAGTTATTAGCACCAGTCTCATAGATAAATTGGTGGAGTGTGGTGATACTTTTTCCTATGAATTTTGCCCCTTTTACCTTTATAGGCTAGTGGCTGGGCTCTTGGTGTTCTCTAAGGTAGGAAGAAAAATAAAAATTGCAGAAGATAAAGGATGAGCATCATTTTGAAGAATTTCTGCACAGAAATAGTTACATAGAGGAAAATCTTGAAAAAATACCAAAACATGAGTTCTGGGTATGTTCTGAGAGCATGGTAATGGTTCCTTCTAGTCAAAACTGTCATAGCATCTGGCCTTATAGCAGGCTGCACTCTGTTGACCATAGTTGGAGCCAGAAGTTCATGGTGATGATAAAACACGTGTGAACTTCTGATCTGCAAAGCAAAACCAGACCAACATCACTGCCACATTTAAACCAAAGATAACAGATGGTGGCCAGAGAATACTAGTATGAATAACAAAGTAGCGATACGAGTTTATAAAAGTGCCTTAAATATTCACCTGAAAATAGTTAAGCACATATAAAGTAGTGTTAAAATGTGCTACTTATGTGTGCAAATATGAGACATTGCAGATATTATGAGCAGTGGGCATCAGTGTTGTGAATGCAGAGCCTGCTAAATGCTTAAGGGCTAATCCTCATCGCGATATGAAACTTTTGGTATGGTCACTGAATATATTGCCTGTTGTGATTTGGCAGTCATACTTGCCTTTGATAAGTGGTTCAGAAAGGGCCAGAAGCTCCTCAGCATGAGATGATGAGAAAGACCATCCAAGGTGGCGCTTCATCCCGGATTCTTTAAATGAGCAATATAATGGTCTCTAACTAGCTGAATAACTTACCGTTCTTATTTTCTATCTTTTCTTTTTGCTGGATTGGTGGTAGATAAATCATGTCCAAATTTCTTCCAGAACATCTCTCAAAATTCCTCCCTCCTTTTCTCCCTCTCTCCCGTCTTCCGTCTTTCTTTCCTTCCTACCTCTTTCTCTCCCTTTCTTTTCTTATATGTGTGTATATGCCATTGGGGATTAAAATCAAGGCCTTTGCACTGAATTGCCAACCATTTTCTAATATTTTATTTGACACAGGTGCTGCTAAATTGCCAGGGTTGGGCTCTTAACTTGCTACTTCCCTGTTTCAGCCTCCCGTAGTGCTGGAATTACAGGCAGGCACCACCATGCTCAGCTCAAAAGCTATTCTTCAAGTGTGCAGTTCACTAGAATTCTAACTTTCATTTTGATTTCCTTGATTTAATTTATTTTTCCTTTATGTCTGTGCCTCACAAGGATATTTATTACAAAAGTTTGTGTAAAACTCTTATTATGAAGTATAGGATTGGGTATGAAGTATAAGGGCTTATTTTTGTTGGTACAATTTGATACTTTATGAGGGCTGACCTCTGCCCCAAGGAGAGTGGCCAGCGTCCTCCTGGCTCACCCTTCATTCAGCGTATAGTATAAAGTGCTACTATGGAAATGACAAGAATCATGAAACGTTTTTATGCCTTACTTTGTTAAAAACAAAACAAAACAAACGAAGATCTTTTTGTTTTAACAAAGTCTTCCTCAGAAATCTATAGTTTAAATACATAAAGTTACAGTAAGGTTGTAGTGATGAATAAAGAGAAGCTAAATCTTGTATATGTTAATGTTGTATTTTCAATAATACCAATCACTTGATGTGAAGGTATTTGTGTATGTGAGCTTCTAACTTGCTATCAAGTCCTGAAATAGCTGCTAGAGATAATGTTGTGATGTTAGTTATAAACATGGCTTCTCTTAAAATAACTTCCAGTTCCTTTTAAATGGTGCTTCATAAAGTATGTATTTGAGATATGAAAACCATGAATAGAGCAAATTATTTAATTTTGAGGTTGAACTGTTTAACAGTGAAAATTAAGCCTTTTGTTCCTTAAGCTTATTTTTACTCTAAAGTCAGACAAACATTGATACATATAAGTACATATTTTCTGGTTATTGATTGAATATGTTTTTACTATACATACTTTTATGTAATTATTTCCCTTTATTACTGGAGCTGTCAGCAAAATGAATAGCTTTAGTTTATAGATAATTCCATTTTTAGGGAGTTTATAACAGTGGAATACACAAAGGATGTATGCCCATCTGTTCTACCATATTTTTTGTTTTTCTCCCTCTTTGCTCAATCTCTTCTTGGGAAATATCGACTTCAGGCATTCCCTGATGGGTAGAATGTGCTAGTCCTTATCATTTTAGTGATTTACCTTAAAAAAACAATAGGATTGTGTTTACGGTAAGAAGGCACAAAACACGTTTGTATGATTACATCTATTCATGTATGTGTTCATTCCACTCATCCAACAGATATGTATCGAGTGCCTACTATAGAGCAACTCACAGGTAGATCATTTCATAAAATTGAAGGGGCCACATATTTATTTTGCTCTGTGTGGCTCTGACTTCCATGTTCTATTACTTTGGCTTGTGAGGACAATATGTTTTTTTCTTTAAGGTTAACCATGCAGTGTTATACATTTGATCCAGTTCCCTCTTCTAGAAATTTGCATAGAATTCCTTTTCTCTGTACCTTCAGTGTATTCTTCTAAATTGGCTATTTCCTTTTTGCAAATAAGTATGCTTGCTCATACCATTCTAAAGTAAACAAGCCAACTAATTCATTTCTTGAGTTTGCTATCCTCAAAGAAACTGCCTTTTCCACTTCTACAAAATTTAAAGAAAGACGAAAGGTAATTTTACTGTAACCACTTCTATATTACCCACTTCATCCTTAATTCCTCATGATATGGTTTATATTCACAGATGCTCTTACTGAAATTGCTCTCTAAAAAATAGCTTCTGAATATACAATTCAGTGGTCTTTGTACATCACTGTAACTCTAGAACACTATCTAACACCACTTTAAAGCTTTTTTATTTTGTATTTTTAACTGTTCTGGTTGATTTATTTCAATAGTCTATGCATTAACTCTGCCAGCATGCATGTACTCAGTTTTTATGTTCTGAGCCTTGTGCAAGACACTGGAGCTACAATTAAAAACAGAAGTGTGTGGGGGGTGGGGATGATGGGGAAAGGGATGGAGCAAAGTTGGCCATAGTGTACTAAGTTACGGTCAGGAGAAGCGAGAAGTCCTGGTTTGCTACTGCATAGTAGGGTGACTATAGATAGCAGCAAAGTGCTGTATATTTCAAAAAGCTAAAGGAAATAATTTTTAATATTTTCACCTTAA